GTGTCGAAAAATTGCTGATCCACCGTGCAGGACGGAGTGCCGCTCGTCCGCCAGCGATGATGGAAGAGCGCCCTCTGAAATTTTTAATGGCCGGTGGAGCCGATTGGCGCGGCCGGGAGGAGAGGCGAAGCCACAGAAAGCGCAGTCGTTACGGAAAACGAGTCATCGCTCTGGGCGGCGAGTGGGGAGGCCTGATTTCTGGTCTCTGAATATGGATGTGTGCCCCACTCGTCTGCCCTCTGACCCGTCGCGGCCGCGCGCGCTCGCAGGGAAAGATCAAATGACCGGTCTAGACCGGAAGACAGCCAATAATGCATATTGTACACTGTTCTTGGTCAGGTAACCAGCTATTCGGCTTATAAAGTGCCTTGCTCCTTCGACACCCTCAAGTCGCGGGCTTGCCCGATATTGCCTGTCTCCTTCTTGCGCGAATCTATGCTGATTTAGTGTTGACTTGAGGTCCACTCGTAATCGGCTTTGTGAGGAGGCCTACAGGCTTATCTTGTCTTTGACTTTTCTGATTGAGCGAAACAGCGCAATACTCAGTGGTGCTATTCTGCTAAGCTCTTGAAGCGAGTAGATAATTCTGTTGAACGGATGCGCAGGCTTTTAAGTGATCTCTGATGAGCTATCACGCATGCCGCAACACAAGAGATTGGACCGACTCCCCTCCATCCTATTGTCGACGTAGTGCCTCATAGCATCCCTAGCCCACCTGGATGGCCAGAATGAAATAATATTCTTGGAAAGTAATTAAATGGTAAGTTGGAAGGCGAAACGCACAAGCACAGTAACAATCGCGTCTGATATGGATTTCGACCCTCGGTTCACCGAACTGAGCTCGTTCTAAGGGCTTTCTGCTTTCATATACAACCCATTTACCATTGCAGATTCTGTTTATGGATCATTTTTCATTGCTACGGAATTCCATGGACTTCACGTCATTATCGGTACAACATTCCTTTCGATGTGCTTAATACGACACATTACATTCCATTTCTCATCTAATCACCACTTCGTATTTGAAGCAGGAAGCACCGTTAGGAACGAGCTCAGTTCGGTGAACCGAGGGTTCGAATCCCATACAGACACGATTGTTTACTTCTGCGTTGTGACGTGGTTGCTCTTCCAACTTACCATTTATTACTTTTCCAAGAATATTACTTCATTCCTGGGCCATCCAGGTGGTGCTAGGGCATGCGTATGAGGCACGTACGTCTGACAATAGGATGGGAGGGAGTCGTTCCCGATTCCTCTTGTGTTGCGGCATGCGTGGGTAGTCTCAATCACCAAGCATCACCTTAAAAGCCTGAGCCCATCCCCTTCAGACAGATATCTTCTACTCGATTTCAGATAGCTTAGCTGAGATAGCACCACTGAGTATCTCGCCTGTTCTCCTCAATCACGAAAGTCAAAGACTAAGATGAGCCTGTGGGCTTCCTCACAAAGCCGATTACGGAGTGGAACCCTCAAGTCAACACTAAATACAATAGATTCTGCGCAAGAAGGAGACAGGCCATTATCCGGGCAACCCGCGACTTGAGGGGTGTCGGAAGGAGCAAGGCACTATAAGCCGGAATAGCTGGTGTCCTGACCCAAAGACAAGTTACATATTGCAATTATTGCTGGACTTCCGGGTCTAGCCAATGCCATTGTATTCGTCCCTGGCGGCGGCGGCGGGGTCAGGGGCAGACGAGTGAGGGCACACATCCACTATTCAGGAGACCCAGAATATCAGGGCCTCCCCCACTCCGCGCCCAGCAGCGCTGACCTCGTTTCCAGTAACGACTGCGCCTTTCGTGGCTTCGCCCTCCTCCCGGGCCGCGCCCATCGCGCTCACGGCCATTAAAATTTCCAGAGGGCGCTCTGCACATCGTCGCTGGCCGGAGGAGCGGCACCCCGTGCCTGCACGTGGATCCAGCAAATTTTCGCACTCTAGCGTCACCTCTCTGTTTCAATGATTCTACGCACGTTAACTGCTGACGCCATAAGTGTGGTGCATGATTTTTCATCGCGAGGTGGCGGTGATCTTCCCCCGTTAGATGGTGTGTTCTGGCGCCGACCTGCCGTCGAATAAGGAGGTTTTACCCTACAAGGTACCTCCCACCAGCGTGGCACTGCCCCAGCCGCGATAAGCTTTAAGTTCTAAGCTCCTGAGGTAGTGTAGTGCACGTTAGTGTAAGGGGTTAAAGTGTCTCTAAGGGGTTAGGATAGGACAGGGAAGAGCAAGGAACGATACCACGCGGTCCGTGGCCCGTTTGTTAGGATACTGCTCTAGCATTCGCCTGGCTTGATCGGAGAAACCACGGGAAACTACCGACTTGAGCAGACGGCCGCTAAAATTCTCCCCCAGACAATGACTGAATTTAATCTTGCAGACAAGACAAGGCCTGACACCTATGGGACTCGAACCTAGAACCTCCCGGTCAGAGACACTGACGTGACATTAGTTGATGCCCTGAGCCACCTCTCCCGGTTTTCTCTTTCAAGATAGTGCATTTATATTAGCTTCACTCATCAGATGACATCTCGAAGAATGTGTGCGCAAGTTGAAGCGTTGTGTTGACTTCTGGGTGAGTGGGCTACGTGATATGATGGATGAGTTGATTCCCACTTTACATACGAAATGTTATTTCTGAAACACAAATACTAACTTCAGCATACAACGCTTCATTCCCTCCGGCGAAGATAATTTCATTCATTAACGCTAACAACCATAATGGTTTTTTGACATAACATTGACTTTTCGATTTTATTTCTTCATCGTGAGCAGAGAAACTCAATGTTCTACCATTGTTATACTGACGAATGCTTTCAAACAGGTAAACGATATGAAATGATGCATGTGGCAAAACCAAATGTGTTGTATCCTCATCACAGCCCACTCGGAAGAGGAAAGGAGCCGGTCGCCCCGTGCCCGCCAACCGCCGTCAGAGACATTAGTTCGCATCGTTTTCCTTAACGGGCCCGGGCCGGCGGTGCGGCAGCGCTGGCGCTGGCGCTGGCATCTGGGGTGAGAGTTCGGGAGGGCCATTTGGGGCGGATGGGCCGCGCTGATAAGGGAGCCTCGACCTCATCATTGCAGCAGGCCGTGCTCCTCGACGCACCGCGCAGCAGGCCGGGCATGGCCGACTGTAGGAAATACACATTTCAGAGTTTGCAAGTTCTTTGACGAATATTGTACTATTAAAATAATGTCTTTCTACAACTGTATAAAAAAGGCAACTTCTGTGCATCGCTAGCCGTACGTGAGGTTCATCATTTTTTAATGTTCAGTAAAAAAAATATTTTGGCCAAGACAACTATCTTATTACTGTGAAAAAAGTATTGTTTGCATGGTGTTAGATACTATTTTATAATCATGGCCCTATGAAATGCATTTCTATATTGTCCGGGGTATCAGTATTCTTTTTCCAATACAACTTTACAAAACCTTTTGTATTATATTTTTATGAAGTTGTAGAAAAAATGTTGTTCATATTTCGTGTGTAAAGTTTTTGAGACCGTACGTTGTGGCAAAAAATCTCAATCTCGACCGTGAATAAAACGAAAAAAAAAAACACTGAATTTGAAAATAACTATTTGTTTAACTTTGGAGTCATTACAGTCTTTTAAATCCTATTCTTCAATATGGTATTATACACGTAACCATGTAGAAATCCGCATGTAACATTTGTATGCACTTTTCACTGTTTCAACAATTATGAAATTGTACTGTAAAATATAATATAATTTAATATCTAAGCAGTTGCCGGGCCTTCGTTTACGAACATTGCATTTTGAACATTGTCTATATAGAATATGGGGCAGAAATTTAATATGAGAGTGAAATTGAAGAACATATACTTAAAACTAAAATAAACTACTTTAAAATGGGAAAATATAGACATTTTTATATTTGAAACATCTATTTTTTACCAACATCGAAAGCCTTTTCGTGATTTATCGAAATATCAATCTTTTGTCATCTATCAATGTTTTGGTAAATTTTGCTATCACTACCCACGCGACAATCAACAACTACCTGTTTTCACTTGCCCAACAGCCGATTAACAACCGCGTTCGACGCACGGTGCACACATTGAAAAAATACCGATTAATATTACTCACAGTAAACATTTATTAGAATGGCAGTTGTGTGCACAGTAGATCTCGCGTCAAAATACAGGTATAAAGTCTCTTCATCCCAGTACTTTAAGGTTTAACTGTGAATTTTTAACTTCCTCTTATTCTGCTTATGTAGTACAGAGAAAGAATTGTAATGCTACAACGGAGAAAGACGATTTTTGAACAGAAAACAGGTATTGTGGATACCGAAAAAATAATTCTTGCTCCTGTATGTAGTAAATAACTTCCTCTAATGCGTTTAGTAACCAGGATCCTTGATACAAAAAAAATGGTTTACGAGAGACACGTCCGGTCGGCCGGTAGGTCGCGTCTATCGTCCGTCTGTGAACAACACCAATGGGTAAACCCCATGAAGAATTTTCATCAAAATTTATATTCCCGTGATGTATCTGATGTAGCGGCTCCATGAGTTTGAAAGGAATATCTGTTTTTTTGGAGGGGACGGTATTTTACATTAAGCTTCAATCCTCTTATCTTGATCTAAAAAAAGAAAAATATATACTCATACATCAGTTTTAATTACTTGAAGTAAGATACATGCCAAATTCGCAGCAAATTTAACAACACGTTTGAACGTGACAGGGTAACAATCACATGAGCAGAGAAAGTGCCGAACGGCCGAGTTAAATAGAACCTCACTTCGCTCGGTCGATTAATTTACAACTGCCCTCAACCTCCACCTGCTATTTTCAGTG